GGGGATAGAGCCCAGGAGTCCTGGCTCCCAGCCCCCCCTGCTCTAACCACTAGACCCATCTCCCCACTGAGAAGGAGCACAAGGTCTCTGAACTACAGCTCCCACGAGGCACCATGGCAGCGTTTCAGGATTAAAATTTTGCATTTTAAAACAGCTTGACATTTTTGTTGGGGGGTAACCCCCTGCCTCTGCCCATTTTCCAACCGACATTATCCCCAAACGACCTGGAGTTTGGGGGTGTCTCAATCACAGAACACAGTGAGCACCGCTAGAGGGCTCACAGACTCTTTAAAGCAGGACCACACCCCTCCTGTCCCCTATGGGGTGGCTACAGCTCAGGCTGCCGGCCCCGACCGCCGGCGACTCACCCGTTTTGTTCTGAGCTGCTGCGGTCGCTTGGAGAGCGCCGAGGACGCAGAGGGTGACGAGCACTTTTGTCATGACGGAGCAGAGCACAAGGTCACGTGGGCCCTGTAGGACAGCAAGCGCTGACAGGTCAGGTGGTTAGCAGACAGGGACCAGGGCTGGGAGCCAGGACTCCTGGGTTCTATCCCCATCTCAGCCACGGACCTGGTGTGTGAGCTAGCACAGGCCCGTTCTGTAGGCCTCGGGGGTCTGAACCCAAGAGTTAGAATGTGGACAGCACTAGAAGAAAATGAAATGGGTTAAGACGAGTAGACAACACTCCAGGATGGCCAGACAGCGTCAGAGCAAAGATTCCTCCAGCCCAGAGTCCTGTCTCTGACGGACGCCAACGCCAGGCGCCCCAGAGGGGATGAAGAGAACAGGGCGATTAGCGAGTGATCCACCCCTCAGCCACTCCCAGCTTCTGTCAAACAGAGACTTAGGGGCACCGAGAGCAGCGGGCTGGTCCCTCACCACTCTGGCTAATAGCCATCGGTGGACCTCTCCTCCAGGATCTGATCTAATTCTCTTCTGAACCCAGATATACTGCTGGGTTTCACAACATCCCCTGGTGGGGGCGCTATTTCGGGAGCACGGGGGGATTCTGCTCCCCCCCCTCAAGTTTCCCACCACAGCGGGGTGCAAACAGGAAAATGAACCCCTGCCCCGCGCTCTCCCTGGAGGAACCCGCAGCCCTTAGCTGGGCTCGGAGTGGGACGTGGCTGCTGGCTGACAGAGCTGTCCCCCAGGAGCTGCACCGACAGCTCCCCCCCGCCCCCTTTTGACGCCGGGCTGTGGGATGTAAATCCCCGGCTGTGTGGGCTGCTACTGCTCCGTGGCCGGGAGGGGGAGGCGGGAGCTGTCTGTATGGCTCTGTCCGCCCCCACCCTGAGCAGAGCGGGTATAACGAGATCCTCACATGCCCCCTCCAGCTGGGCGGCTGAGAGCCTGGGCACCCATTAGCCCCCCTGCCAGCAGCAGCGCTCGCAGCCCCGGCACCAGAGGGCACTCAAAGCCCTTCCTGTGGGGAAATAGCTCCTCAGTCCCCTGCTGGTGGGATGGGAGCCAGGGGAGGGCAGGTGCTGGGCATCCTTGGCCCAGAGAAGGGACCTGGTGAGTGCTGAGCTCCAGGAGTCTCCCCCACAAAGCCGGGCAGTTTTATTTCCAGTGTCACTGTCGGTGCTGCCCTGACATGTTTCAGCTGCTCCTGATGGAAACCAGAGGGTGTTATTGTCCGTACCTCGGCGTCTCCATCAGCAAATACAAATGGGTTCTTTCTTCAATTATTCTATGGACACTGGGACTTTTTCACAGTTCCTGGAGGGCTCTTAATCGTACCAGGTTGATGCAGCCTGGAAACAGGTCTCTTTCCCAACTTCTTTAATATCTGAGTGTGCCCTAGAAATGACATTGCTTAGAGGGCAAATTTGCTTGATAACATTTAAGACGTCTCGTGTCAGATTGTATTTTCCTTAAGGCACGTTGAGAATCACCCAGCTGGGTCACTGCAGATCCATACTCCGGATTCCTATAGGACATTATAAAACTGAACAGCTTCCAGAGGCTAAAACAGGCTTTTAGATCAGCCCTTTGTAAATACAAGTTCAATTTATCAATTTGTTTTTACATTTTGAATCTTTACACCTTGAGTTCCTTGAACTGGAGGGTGTTTCGTTTGTGCTGGGGAATTATCATAGATAAGGACCTTATTTCTAGTTACTGAGTAACTTAATAGGAAAAGAAAACACATCGCCATTGGAAAAAGGTGATAACATCTGTATTTACTGGAAACACACCTTCAGGTGTCCTAGAGCTGATGGGGAACCCATACTGGGCAATCTATTGTCATATTTTCTTTCCAATTCTCACTTTAAAAGCTTTTTGTCTTTTCTTTTTTTTAAACTAGTGCCAAAACAAATTTCTGCAACAATGTACTAGTTATTCCATGCTTTAGAAGAATGTTTGAGGGAAACTCAACTACTTTAAACTCATTTTTTTCATGAGGAATGAGATACACAAATTAAGAGAGCGTATATTTGCTTGCTTATCATTTTCCAAAAGGCAATACAAATGAAAATAAACAAGTATGTGGGTGTCTATGGGTGATTGGTGGCACATGGTAAGGACAATGATATGGAGCAAATATTCTGCATGAATTGTATTCACCAGTTAAAGTTATTAGCTCTTGTATTAAGGCTCCAAAACTGATATAGGAAAGTAAATGCCAAGTAATGCACATTGGAAAACATAATCCCAGTTATACACACAAAATGATGGGGTCTAAATTAGCTGTTACAATTCAAGAGAGAGATCTTGGAGTCACTGTGGATAGTTCTCTGAAAACATCCACTCAATGTGCAGTACTTGTGGCACCTTAGAGACTAACAAATTTATTAGAGCATAAGCTTTCGTGGGCTACAACCCACTTCTTCGGATGCATATTGAGTGAAACATATATCGAGGAGATATATATACACACATACAGAGAGCATGAACAGGTGGGAGTTGTCTTACCAACTCTGAGAGGTAAGTTTTATTTCCAGTGGTAAGACAACTCCCACCTGTTCATGCTCTCTGTATGTGTGTATATATATCTCCTCGATATATGTTTCACTCAATATGCATCCGAAGAAGTGGGTTGTAGCCCACGAAAGCTTATGCTCTAATAAATTTGTTAGTCTCTAAGGTGCCACAAGTACTCCTGTTCTTTTTGCGGATACAGACTAACACGGCTGCTACTCTGAAACCTGTCAATGTGCAGTGGCAGTTAAAACAGCGAACAGAATGTTGGGAATCATTAGGAAAGGGATAGATAACAAGGCAGAAAATATCCTATTGTCTCTACAAATCCATGGGATGCCCACATGTTGAATACTGTGTGCAGATCTGGTCACCCCATCACAATATATATATATATATATATATATATATTGGAATTGGAAAAGGTACAGAGAAGGGCAACAAACATGAAGAGGGGGATGGAACAGCTGCTGTATGAGGAGAGATTAAAAAGACTGGGACTGTTCAGCTTGGAAAAGAGACGACTAAGGGGGATATGCTAGAGGTCTATAAAATGTTGCTGGGTGTGGAGACAGTGAATAAGGAAGTGTTATTCACTCCTTCTCATAAGATATCCAATGAAATTACTAGGCAGCGGGTTTAAAACCAATACAAGGAAGTATTTTTGCACACAACCCAAAGTCACCCTGCAGAACTTGTTGCCAGGGGATGTTGTGAAGGCCAAGACTGTAACAGGGTTCAAACAAGAACTAGATACGTCCCTGGAGATAAGTTCTATTAGCCAGGCTGGGCAGGGATGCAACCCCATGCTCTGAATGTGACAGGGTCCCTAGCGCTGTTTGCCAGAAGTTGGGAATGGGCGACAGGGGATGGATCACTTGATAATTCCCTGCTCTGTCCATTCCCTCTGGGGCACCTGGCACTGGCCACTGTCGGAAGACAGGACACTGGGCTAGATGGACCTTTGGTCTGACCCAGTCTGGCCGTTCTTATCTTCTTATGACCCCTCAAGGCTTTGGGTTGGGAATATCCTGCTGTATTATCTCCTGGTTGTTCTAAATTTACACATAAATGTAAAACACGGCTTTAGGGGGTTGTAGAGAGATTTTTCTTTCTTCGTATAGGAATTAGGCACAGTGCTCCCGTCAGCTAATTTCTAAGTTATCTGCCAAAAATCTGGAGTTGTCAAGTGCCTGAGGAGCTCCTGGAATGATGGTTAAAGTCGCGCACCCCCAATCTGAAACAGCGTCCCTGCAGGGAGTTCCACAGGCTAGCTGTGCGCTGGGTGAGGTAGGGCTTCCTTGTGTTTGACTTAAACCTACTGCCTAGCAATTTCATCGGGTGACGCCTGGTTCCTGTGTTATGAGAAGGAATAAATAACACTTCCCTATTCACTTTCTCCACACCCGTCATGATCTTATAGACCTCTATCATGTCCCCCCTTGGCCGTCTCTTCGCCAAGCTGAACAGTCCCAGTTTTATTAATCTTTCCTCGTACAGAAGCTGTTCCATCCCCCTAATCATTTCTGTTGCTCTTCTCTGCACCTTTCCCAATTCCAATGTATCATTTTTGAGATGGGGCGACCACATCTGCACGCAGTATTCAAGGAGTGGGCATCCCATGAATTTATGCAGAGGCAACATGATTTCTTCTGTCTTATTGTCTATCCCTTTCTTAATGATGCCCAATATTGTTAGCTTTTTTGACTGCCGCTGCATCTGATGAAGTGGGCTCTAGCCCACGAAAGCTTATGCCCAAATAAATTTGTGAGTCTCTAAGGTGCCACAAGGACTCCTCGTTGGTTTTGCTGATACAGACTAACAAGGCTTGTGCACTTTCTCTGCACCACTCATGATTTTATAGACCTCTCTCTATTCTCCCTTAGCCATCTCTTTTCCAAGCTGAAAAGTCCCAGTCTTATTAATCTCTCCACATATGGAAGCTGTTCCATACCCCTAATCATTTTTGTTGTCCTTTTCTGCACCTTTTCCAATTCCAATATATCTTTTTCAGATGGGGCGACCACATCTGTACGCAGTATTCAAGGTGTAGGTGTACCATGGATTTATATGGCGGCAATATGATATTTTCAGTCTTATTATCTGACCCTTTCTTGATGATTCCCAGCATTCTGTTCCCTTTTTTGACTGCCGCTGCACATTGAGTGGATGTTTTCAGAGAACTATCCACAATGATGCCCAGATCTCTTTCTTGAGTGGTAACAGCTAATTTAGTCCCCATCGTTTTATATGTAGAGTTGGGATTATGCTTCCCAATGTGCATTACTTTGCATTTATCAACCTTGAGTTTCCTCTGGCATTTGGTTGCCCAGTTGGGTGAGATCCCTCTGTAACTCTTCGCAGGCAGCTTTGGGCTTAACTCTCTTGAGTAATTTTGTAACATCTGCAAACTTGGTCACCTCATGGGTCTCCCCGTTTTTCCAGATCATTTATGACTAAGTTGAACAGCACCAGTCCCAGTGCAGATCCCTGGGGGGCCCCGCGATTTACCTCAGGCTCCAAGGTCCCGGATTGCTGCATTAAGACTAATACAGCAGCGATTGTGGTTTTGTTTCACACAGCTAAGGAAGAAACAGTGGGTTTTTTGTCAATGCTGGAACTCTGAACACCCACTTTCTAGTCCCGGCTCAGCCCCAGACACCCGTCTGAGTCATTTCATCACACCGTGCCTCAGTTTCCCCCATCTGTTAAGTGGAGAGACTGATCCTTCCTTGGTCTATCTAGAGTGCAAGCCTTTTGAAGGCAGAGACTGTCTGTCATGAGCTGCTTACGCAGCAGCTGATCTCAGTCAGGGTCTGCACAGCGCCTGGCACAACGGGGCCCTGATCTCGGCTAGGGTACTGAGCAGCACCCGGCATAACGGAGATCCTGATCTTCATCGGGGTCTGTGCAGAGCCTGGCACAGCAGAAACCCTGATCTTTGGAGAAGATCGCACCTTTTCAGTACGCGCGTACAGCACCTGACACTCCCGGATGCAGCTCTCTACCTGGAGCCGCTGGCTGTTATCACAGAATTAAGAATAATAAACGTACCTTTGGTTATCGTGGCTTCAGTGGCTCCAGGCGCTTCCCTCTGTGAAGTCACAGTCACGAGCTGCGGGCACAGCTCTCACCCTTCCTTCCTTTATAGCAGAACCAAAGGCCGGTTCGGGAAGTGGCGCGAGAAAGAACGCATAGCAGCGAAACCTCAGCATCCTGGTTCCTCTCGGCGCTGGCAGCGTAACTAAGAGAATCAAAATAGTGACTGAATTGTGTGGGGGAGCAGCTGATGCCCTGAGCAGCCCCACGGGAGCTGGGTGGGTCTGAAGACTGACAATGTTCCTGGCCTAATGCCTAGGGGAGAAGCTGAAGATGGGCTATAACTTGATTTTAGTTTGGCCTTTGAGCCCTGAATGACATTCCCATAAGCAAACTAGGGAGATGTGAGCTTAATGACATCACTACTAAGGGGTGCACAGGTGGTTGAAAGACCATCCTCAAAGAGTAGCTAATGGTCAAACTGGGAGGGCATCTAGTGGGGTCAGTCCTGGGCCAAGTACTCTACAATATTTGGATTAATCGTAGAATCTCAGGGTTGGAAGGGACCTCAGGAGGTCATCTAGTCCAATCCCCAGACAGATTTTTTGCCCCAAATGGCCCCCTCAAGGATTGAACTCCCAACCCTGGGTTTAGCGGGCCAATGGTCAAACCACTTAGCTATCCCTCCCCGCTAGATAACAGAGTGGGGTGCACAGGTCTGAAATCTGCAGCTGACACCATGACAGGAGGGGTTGCAAGCACTTTGGAGGGCAAGATGAGAGTGCAAAACGGCCTGGACAAGTTGGAGAATTTGCTCCAGTATCAACAAGAGGAAATTCAGGTCAAAATAAGTCACTTAGGAAGGGAGGACCCAACGCACAGCTACAAACTGGGGGATCGCTGTATGGCTGGAAAGGATCTGGGGATTGAAGAGGATCCCAAATGGAACTTGAGTCACGAAGTGATGCAATTGAGACAAGGGCCAGTTTCGTGCTGTAGGAAAGATGGGAACAAAGTGGAGAGAGCCCAGAGGAGAGGGTGGCACCGGGACCCCCATCACGCCAGGTGCTGCACAGACCCCGACCGACTAAGGGGTCCCCCTTGTGCCAGGCAGGACAGACACCCCAACAAAGGTCAAAACGCTCATTGTGCCAAGACTGGGCAAATGGAAGGCATCACACTTCAGGCCTGTAACAAAAGCCAGTGAGCAAGAGTGGACGGTAACCGGGCACAGACGCAGACAGGTGGGGCTTTAATAAACAGTGTTTCCCCGACAGAGAGGCGCAGATTGGAACACAGAAAGGAAATTGAGACCAAGACCTCTTGAGTTTGTCACAGGACAGGAAGCTGGAGCTGTTCTTGTCCTGTGACTCGGCTGGGAAGCCCGTCTAGCTTAGGTGTGATCTCCGCAATCACTTAGTGCACCAGCCATCACATGGACGCTGATACTCGTGCACTTTGATCTCCTCCCCTTGCAAAGTAGCTATTCATGTCCACATAGACAAGTGCTGAGCTCGGACCAAAGTGTCTTTCAGAGGAGAGGCAGCGTCCGTGTCGGCTGTTCGTTGTTTGGAAATCAGTTTCTCTGTAGCTTTGTTCCATTTGCTAATAAACCAACTTGTTTTAAGAAGGCTCGTTATCAGGGCCGTCCTTAGGATTTATGGGGCCCTATTCAGTGTTATTAAGCTGGTGCCCCTTTGTCCGACGGCAGCCCGGGCTCGCATGTGAATAAGGGGGGTCTTTTGAAAGATTTATTTAAAAAACTATATGTCTGAAGATCCAAGCATTTAAGGCTAAAGACGAATACTCAGATTGTGCATCTACAAATCTATGCAAGGGTTTTTTTAGAGATGTGATTTTATAATCTTCAGCAGCACACGAATGAAATATTTTTAAAGCAAATTTTAAACGAAGGTCTTGTAGGCTAACATGTTCTGAGTAAATATGACTGTGATGCACAACTGTTGTCAGTAAATTCAGAAACTGACAGTGTATACTAGGGGTTTGGCAAACGCCTGTGAAATGGCTTCATCACCGCTTGACAGGTTTCAGAGTAGCAGCCGTGTTAGTCTGTATCCGCAAAAAGAACAGGAGTACTTGTGACACCTTAGAGACTAACGAATTTATTTGAGCATCAGCTTTCGTGGGCATCCGATGAAATGGGCTGTAGCCCACGAAAGCTTATGCTCAAATAAATGTGTTAGTCTCTAAGGTGCCACAAGTACTCCTGTTCTTATTACTGCTCGAATGGCTCTTTAGCAGTTTCAATGTTGTGCTAATAGGTCTGTCAGTCTTGAGGCTTTTCCCTTTTAAGTTCCTAGATCCCCTCTGGAGGAAGAATCACCAGGCTGCAGAAGCCAGCTGTGGTGGGAGCCTGCACGAAGGGTCAGAACAGGGATAGAAAGAGGCGGAAGGGTGGACACTAAGACCCAGCGGTGCCCCAAATTGCCTCTTTATGGGGAATTTGGACATTTTTATTTCTTTCCAAACCAGAACAAAAATCATTAATGTCAACATTTCCTGCAAGATGGGCATTGGGGGGAACATTTGTTGTGGGTCGTTCAGAGAATCTTGTTTGGATTTTGACATCTTAAAATATTTTTAAACAATTTTATAACAAAATAAATCAAGACAGTTCCCAGTGAAATGGAAAATCAAAATGTTCCCTCCCAAAGTTGAAGCTGCGACTGCATTGAAATGCTTGTGTTTGTTTTCTGTCTTTTGCCACCTCAATGAAATTTCATCAGAGTCGAAAAAGTGCCATGGGAAATGTCGGTGTTGCTGAAATGGTGCTTTCCAGCACAAGAACTTTCCCACCATCTCCAAAGAGCTGTCTACTTAGACCCGGCTAGGAATAAGTGGTCAGTACAGATAGGTGTTGTACCCACACTTGGTCTAAGAGTAGGAGAATTGCAAGATGCCACTGTGAGACAGGTAAAAGCATGAAACCAGAAACCAGAGGGAAGACCCCCGGATCCCACTACTGACACCAATCTAAGTGGGAAGTGGTTGGCACTATGAGGGAGATATTAATGACTGCACACCGGATCTAGGTGAGAGATTATACACAGACCAGAAGAGAATCATTTCATACAGAGCTATAGTGGCTTCGGTGAAGCAGTGCATTTGCCCATGAAATAGACACACTCCCCAGCTCTCCTCCTAGCACATCTGTTTTTTACACCGACTGAGTCAGACAGAAAGCAGAAAGTAGCAGGATGCGGTTTATTGAAAATACCAGGCACGCAACAGTGCTGCTAAGGAAAGTGAACGCAATGCCAGCAGACTAGAAGCCCATGGGGTATAGATTTATGGATACCTGCCATCCCCTGCAGTCTCAAGAGATTAACTGCACAGCCGTTCTGCTCTGAAACACCAGTAACCAAATCGCTCCTTAGCCCCCGAAGCCCAGACTGCTCACTTACAGAATCAGCATGGAGACAGTCCTGTCCCAACACCATTGTCTTCCCAACAAAATGGCCAAACCCAGCCACTTGGTTATAGGGCTGTTCCACTTTCTTAACAGCTCTTACTCCATCTGAGACCTTCCCAAAGCTACCCACACTGGATCTTTCAAAAGGAAAGTCAGTGGATCCATTCACAACAGACAATTTCTGGCTGTTAGGAACTGAAACTTCCTTGATCAAATCACTTTCACACCCTTCAGCTACAGCAAACTGCTTGCACGGAATACCATGAGGATTCCTTTCCCTAGGAGCTTCTCTAAGCAACAATTCACCCCTCACAGAAATTCTGCCCTTACCCACTTCACCTAGGGCTTGCTCTAAAGGAACACTTTCCTGAGCAACAACAGACTCTGTCTGGGTCTCACCTACACCCAGGATCACCTTTGGCCCATCGGGCGGATTCCTTTCAGGCAAACTCATAGACTCACTAGATAAAAGGTTAGAGGGGCTCTCTTTTCCTCTGCAACTTTCCTCCAGTTGTCAGGCTCAACACACACAAGTTTAGGAATCATTTCCTCCTGGTTGCAAGTTTTCACACCGTCAGTAACACAATAAAATCACAGTAACACAATCAAATCACCTTTCTGCTCTCCTTGTGCCCTGGCTAGGGTATCACCCTGTGATTAGACAGGGTTGCTACACCCTTTTCCAGCCACACGTTAGCAACAGGCAAAATACAAGCACCAGAATTGTCTGGTCTCTGGGATTTTGCTAAGACACTAACTGGATGCAACCTAGTTACAGTGCCATTCTCCCCAGCAGACACAAACTTAGGACCATTGCCTTCCTGGGTGTTAGTTGAATCCAGAGCCAACTCTGAGACAACTGCACTATTCTCAACCATCACAGGCTGAAAGGCACCTTCTGTCTGCTTCACAGACAAAGAACTGGAGACACATTCTCCTTTACCAGACACACAGCTTGGGATCTTATTTCCCTTGTCCCAGCACACAGGGCTGTTCACAGACAACCGCTTGGAGAGTGAGGTAACTCCCTCCATAGGCAAGGCAATACCCCTGACAGACACAGGCACATTTCCTTCACTGTCACTATTCTCCCCACAGGAAACAGGGAAGGGATAGGGACACTCATCTTCCACTCTCCTGGCCTTCCCAAACTGCTGACTAGATAATCAGCTCACAAGGCTGCCTAGGCTCAACCACACTATTCTTACCAGGCACGTCGCCGATACGCTGCCGCTCTTCTCACTACACTGAGCTACTGCCAGCAAATCCCAGTTACCTTTTCAGGTTCCCTTTTACAAGCTGTACTAGCCAACAATCCATCACCCATCCAAAAATCTACCCTTTCCTTCCTCAGGTAGGGCTTCCACCTGACCATCCACTTTACTCTGCTTCTGAGAAACATTGTCCTGCCCAATGAGATCTTTCTGCTCTTGATCTAATTCCAGAGTCACTTCTGAGACATTAGACAGACATTCAGAACCTTCATTCACAGACAGACAGCTCTTCTCCTCAGACAAACCTTTGGAGACACCCTCCCCAGCAAATCATTGCCCATAATAGACACAGGTTTAAGATCATTCCTGTCCTGTGACTGGCTACCTGGATTGAACAAAGCTTTAACATCTTC